CAAAGGAGAAGTTTAATAAGCAAGTGGATAGGGGCGCCTGGGTGACTCAGTGGGTTAAAGCCTCTGCCTTCAGCTCGGGTCATGATCCTGGGGTCCTGGGTTCGAGCCCCGCATCGGGCTCTCTGCTCGGCAGGGAGCCTGCTTCCTCCTCTCTCTGCCTGCCTCTCTGCCTGCTTGTGATCTCTGTCTGTCAAATAAATAAATAAATAATCTTTAAAAAAAATAATAATCAAGTGGATAGGACACCAGTCAGCCTCTTTCCCCAGCACCCCTGTCCTGGTCCAATGGGCTCATCAACGAAGTGGCCATGACGGCAGGTGGAGAACAGGCATGGGCCCAGCTATGTGCACCGCTACGCATCGGACTCATCTGGCTACGGTTACCACTGCGTGCCTAATTGCCTGCAGCAAAAACCAACACTGAGACCTCACTATGGCACCACTCCCAGGGGAGATTAGCCAGCTACCTGGTGGTGGGTTCAGTGAAATGGGCCTCTCCCATCATGGAGAGGGCAACATTTTGTCCTTACTGGAACAGCCACTTACTCTGGCTACAGATGCACCTTGAACGCAAGGTGAGCTGCCGCCAAAGCTACTTCCCGCGGACTTCCGGAGCGCCTTGTCCGCCGTCGCCACAGGAGTGCTTCTGGTCTAGGAAATACCTCACAGCAGAACAATGGGCCCATGCCCTTGGAATTCACTGCTTAAGCATGTTTCCCACCATCCTGAAGCAGCTGGTTCAACAGAATGCCCTTCTGAAGACTGAGTTATGGTATTGGCTAGAAGGTCCGACCTCGCAGGGCTGAAGAAAGGTACTCTCAGAAGTTGTATTCACCCTGAATCCGTGTTCAATACATGGTGGTATTTCCCCACAGCCAGGGTTCCCAGACCCAGGAATCAAGGGGCAGAAATGGAAGTGGTAGCACGGACTAGTATCCCTACTGACCCCTCGCAAACCTTCTGCCTCCCGTTCCTATAACCTTAGAAACTAGTGCTGCTAGGCTAGAGGTTCTAGCTCCAAAGGGAGGAACACATCCACCAGGATGCACAACAGTGATCCCACGGACCTGGAAGCTCAGACTGCTGCCCAGCACTCTATGGTCCTCCAGCCTCTCAGCCAGCAAGGAAGGGAGTCCTGACCACCAAGCGGAACCTGGACTGCTCCTCCACAATGGAGATGAGGAAGAGTGTCTCTAGAAAACAGGACATGCCTCAGGGCATGTCTTAGTATCACCATAATTTGGGCCCATTAATGATTTTTTAAAAGCCAAGAAGCAAGCATGTCTAAGGCTGAAAAGTCTTCAACCCAAGACAATCTTAGGAACTAATAATCACTCCCTCGAATGTCACTGACAAGGTTAAAGAAAGCTACGAATTTAGAAGAGAAAGATAAATTTAAAGATTCATGAAATTCACTACATGCAGCAAAGGATACTGACCTACCAAAGATTCAGCAGAAACAAAGCCAGGGGTCATAAAACCCTCAAGGAAAATTTCCAAGGCTTACATCCCAGGCCTCCTGAAACCGATTCCTAAGAGTACATTTAGAAGCAGTGACATCACTTAGAAGGTTCTTCCTCTAGTTCCCCGACTTTCAGATGATGCGGTTTACTGAAGTTTGAAATTATTGTTTATTACATTTTCATTCAACACTTTTATTAGACAATCACTATGTGGAAATCATTGCTCTAAGCCCTAATTTATAAACAAAATATTTGAGCTTACATGCACACTTTACATCATTAACGAGAAAGACTATCAATAAAACAAATATATTTACTTCCAGAGTTAAGGCCTCCAAACATATGGCATGTCTTGTGTTAGTCACTCTTACTCCCAGTCCATAAATAGAGTAAAAGAAATGACCTTGATTTAGAGTATGTGAAGGTCGTTAAGTATAGTACGAAATTTCTACTCAGCGAAACTGGAAACAAAGGCCAGTTGACCTGTCATACTGGTTAGCCCAGCTTGAAATCACCTGCACTGCTGGTAAAAACACCTGGAGCCCAACCCTGCAAAACGTATGTGCCATAGTCCCTACAGCTTTACAGAAAGGCAGGGCCAAGCAGAACCATGCCAAACAGTCCTCCTCAAACATTTTAGACGATACATGTAAAAAACATTTTCTAAATTATATATTACGCACGTATTTTTAATAACAAATAACATGTCATCTAAAAATAACTCACCAAAACATTCATAGCCTTTACTTTCCAGGTTGTTTCCTGCCTTTCATAGTAACAGCGGACTTTTCAGTAGAAGATTTATTTTTTGTATCAATTTCAGTTTGCTTATTTGAGTTTTTTTCAATTGCTAAGCAAAAAATTGAGTAACTATTAAATTATTCATTTAATAATTAGTCCTAATATTGCTGAATTCACTTGGTCTTCAGAGCATCATGACTCCATTTGTTTCTACTTTCAAGCACAATAGAAACCACAAAGGCCAAATTCAAATATATGATTAAACTAAAATGTTAAAATTTTTCATGTCAATAAACAGTTTAAGCAGTATTAAAGGACATAAGGGACGAAAGTGTTTGCAATTAACCTGATAAACAACTGATTACTTAAAAAAAAAAAGCAGGTGGAAAAAGGAATGAATTCTTGCTATCTGCAACAACATGGACGGAGTGAGAATATCATGTGAGGAGAAATAAGTCACTCAGAGAAAGACAAAGACCCTATGATTTCACTCATATGTGGAATTTAAGAAACAAAACAATTGCACAAGCGAACAAGAGTTGGGGGGCAAACCAGGAAACACAGGAAACAGACTCTTAACTATAGAGAACAAACTGGTGGTTCCCAGAGGGGAAGGAGTGGTCAGGGGATGAGTGAGACAGGTGACGGGGATGAAGAAGTAACACTTATCGTGATGAGCACCGGGTGGGGCATGGAGTGTTGAATCACTGTATCGTACACCTGAAACTAATATCATACTGTATGTTAACTAACGAGAATTAAAAATTTAATTAAAAAAAAAGAAAAAGGGGGAAAACACACTGTAAAAATGGGCAAAGGAAACACAGGTAGGCAATTTACTAAAAAAATAACTATGGTGGCTCAGACATTAAGTGTTTGCCTTCGGCTCAGGTCATGATCCCAGGTTCCCGGGATCGAGCCCCGCATCGGGCTCCCTGCTCAGCAGGAAGCCTGCTTCTCCCTCTCCAGTTCCCCCTGTTTCTGTTCCCTCTCTCGCTGTGTGTCTGTCAAATAAATAAATAAAACCTTTAAAAAAAAAAAAAAAACTATGAATGACCTCCGAGTATGTTTTGTAAATGTTGTAAATGTCTACCATACTAGTAATTAAAGTAATATACATTTACAAGGAGAAATGTCTCACGTTTTTGAACTGGAATGATTGTTTTAAAGATTTATTTGGGGGTGGGGCAGAGAGAGAGAATCCAAGTAGGCTGCACCAAGCATGGAACCCGATGCTCAAGCTCCTGACCCTGAGACCATGACCTCAGCAGAAACCAAGAGTCAGACACCTAACTGACTGTGCCCCCAGGCACCCCTTGAATTGGCAGGTTTTAAGTACTGCCCACAGTTGATGAAGATGCATTCTGGGAAGGGGAGCCCCTCCCCCATCCCACCACTGAAAGTGAAACCACTAGTGGAATTCACACAGCTTTCTGCAATCAGGAAATATCTTCTCAAAACTTTTGAAGTGTGCTTACCTGGAAAGTGAACTGCAGAAATTTATCCTAAGGACAAATATTTATTCGTAAAGATGTAGCTTTTTTAGTTAAAAAAAATGGGAACAACCCATGCTTATAACAGCTTCAGGCACTACTGTAAATTGCACAGAAAAGTAGTTAATAGCATGGAAACTTCCCCCTTATATGCTGATTTAGGAAAATACAAATTATCAGTGAGTCCATGAAGGTTTCCTTCTGGTTATGTATCCACAGGAATACACCTTACTGAAGGCTACAGGCCACAGTATTCTCAATAGCTCTGTGAGTTGTAGGATTTTGGGTAACATTAATTTTCTTCACTGTATATTGTTTTCCAAATATTCTACAGCAAACACAGCATTTCTTTAAACACAAAGGAGTGAGAGAAAAGGTAGCTGTCTATATAAATTCCAGATAAAGAGTTATGCACAAAGTCATCTTTAGAAAATGAGGGGGAGGGGGAGGGATTATTTGTCACATCTCAGGAAGGGAAAGGATCCTCTAAACACAGAACAACTAGAAAAACCAAAGGAAGAAAAAAGACTGCACACTGGGAAAAATACAAATGTTAATAATTCTGTCAATCAAAAAAAGCAAATAAAGTTAAAAAGAAAAATAACCAGGACATATTTACAAAAATCTAATAAAAAGCTGATGTTTCACATATAAAGAAATTATAATTCAATAAGAATAAAAGGGGGAAATCATAATTCAATAAGAATAAGAAGATCTATGTATTAGATCTTATATTTTATAAGTTAAAATTAAAATGTCCTACCTCACCAAAACTTTCTAGAAAATGGTAGAGTCAAGATTGGAATGCAGGTCTACTTGGCCTCCAAGCAATGTACCATGTTGCCCACAGAAAGTAAGTCACTTTTTTAACCACATTAATTTTAAAGTTCATACTTGACAAAAGAGTTTTTTCCCCATCAATTACACATTCTTAAATGAAAAAAGTAACTGAGAGAAAATAAATGAAGTAGAAAACTATGGCTAGTATTTTTAGGTCTTAAATGGAGGTTAGTTCTTTTGACATATCCAGATAAACCAAAATTCTCTTGATACATATTTAAATGAGAACTTACTTATCAAAATCATTATTAAGTATAAAGACTGGTTCTTGATTAAGTAAAACAGAAAAGGCTGTCACAACTAAGAACAGGAATAGTAAGTAAAATCTGGTTTTCTGATTTTATGAAGGACTCATGGTTTCCTGGAGGAAGATGCAAATTATGAAGGAAATTAAGAAAAGGCAAATCTAAAAATACAGTGTGGAAAAAAATGAAAACATTCATTATTAAGCAATATATACTGACCATGAATCAGGGAGCCATTTAGCCACTGAATATAGTAGTTTTGAGGAAAAGAAAGCAGGATTTCATTGCTGATTATTGAAAAGGGTAAGAGCAGAACAGCCCCGGCTGAAACCGCCAGGGTGAACGTGCTCAGAAACAACCTGGAAGAGAAGAGATCATTGTCACCAGCAATCGCAGAAAGCAAGGAATACAGTCGGAATCCAAAAAGGACAAGACTCTTAAATCTTTTAACCCAAAAAAGTTACATAAGGTTTTCATTAAATACGTGTCGTTGGGAGACAAATGTTGTATGTATGATACCTGAAGTTCAAGCAGCTATACTCCAAAGCGCCTCTCTGTGAAAAAGGACAGTAACTCGAACGAGCAGGCCCTCTAAGAATCACAGAGAAGACAAAGTACTCTGCCCATTTTACAAAGAATAAGCCATAGTCTCTCTCCTCTTTTAAATTTAAATATTTATTCCACAATTGCATTTAATTAACAATTGGCAAATACATCCTCACAGCAATGCAAAAACTGATTCAGGTGAAAAAAAAAAACTTGCAAAAACGGTACAAAAAACCAATTCAAAATGGTTATTTCAAGAAAAAAACTCAACAAAGCCATTGGTCAGCTACCTCTTAAAACAGGTAAAGGTAAAATAAATTAGACTAGCAAACAGTATCTAACTATTAATATTCTACTATTAAACTATTTAAAACACTGCTTTGTCATTTTTAAAAATAAGATATTGCTAATAAATACTAACACAGAAAGATGTCAAACATAAATTAAGTAAAAAAACAAAAACTGAAAAAGCATGGACGATAAATAGAATACATGCTTACACACACACACACACACACACACACACAAAATGCATTGATATAAACAGGAAAACAGAGGTACCAAAAAAAAAAAAAAAACCTAGCATAATATATAACAATCCCACAGGAACGTGGGCTTTCACATTCTCAGTTATACATGTCTGAAATGTTTAAAAATTTTTTATCTAATTTTTTAAAGATTTTTTTAAGACTAAAAGGGAAAGGAAAAGAAAACCTCACCAACATTATAGATGGAACTTTAATTTAATATCCATTCCATTAAAGTCAATATAGGAACAACGTGAAAATAAATGTAAGAAGACATAAGGAAAAAATGCATACTAAACCCTGGAAATACACAGCCACTAGAGTAAACTTTGAGACCAATGCCATCTGGTGGCAAGCAAAAGAAGTGTTTTCCTACTGAAAAGCCAAAACAACCATGAAACCTCTCTGTTCAGTAAATCATTGATAAAGCTCAAAGGTAGACCGTATCATACACACCAAAAACACAACTCAAATCAGACACAGAAGGAGGCTGAGAAGCCGTTTTGCTGAGTCGGCATGTTTCCTGGGAAAAGCACTAGGAACAATGTCTACCCGGGTCCACCGCCAACTCTGGCAACACCAGGCCGTGGCTGGAGGCGTGCTTCTCTGCTTTTGTCCTTGCAAGTCAAGTGAGGAACTTACCCCAGCCACTACCATTTCTGCCTTCCAATGCTAGAAACAGGATCAAACCCACAAGCTCACCATTCCAGGTGCCGCACAGCTGTTCCAGTATGTGTGCGAGGCTCCTCCCGCCACGACAGACTCCCACATACAGTGCCATGTACCCCGTCTTCTTGTACACCAAACCTCAATGCGTTTCAGTGCTCTGTGCTCCAGGGCACAGTCAGCTCTGTCCCTAGGGTCCCCTTTATGTCCTCTGCCCTGCAAACCGCCACTCTCCACATTCCTCTCAGTAGTCAATCCCTCTCTTCTCAGCTCACATGACACTCACCGCACAACCAGCAAGAAGACCAACCAGTTTCCAAATCAAAAACTGGGTCCTGTAATCTGACAAAAAACGAAGCTTATGAGGACAAATCCATAAAGTATTTGAAATCAACGATCCAGAAAGCCTGAATGCATGGTCACCGTAACTACAACGCCAACTCCCAACCAAACACTTCCAGAACCTACTGTATGTATTCCAGGTACCGTGACTGGGCTCAGGATACTCAGACAAGATGCTGTCACCCTCTCACACTGCCCGTGGGCACCTAGGGTGACAGCCACTCACCGAAGGCCGAAGCAGTGCAGGTCAATGCTGGCAAGGGGTCCTTACTAAGGTAAGGCCCTGAGTCAAGTCGAAATAGGGCAGTAGTGGCCACGGCTTACAGACCTACTGAAGTGCCCCTCGGATTAAAGCACCATTTCACAAACGTCACCTTCTGAAACGGAGCAGATTCTGAGCACAGAAGCCACAGGACTGCCTGAGGGCGGGGGCAGAGAGCGCTCAAGGCCGATCGGAGTTTCAGCTGGAACTGGAACGGCAGAGCGGCTCCTGCCTGTGGAGAAGGCCGAATGGGGAGGCTGACGGGGACACAGGAACTCAGCTCTGGCCCAGCTTCGTCTGTCTCGTCCACAAGGCAGGAGCGTCACAGAAGCAATGCTTCACACTCCTCTCCGCAGGCTACCAGGTGGCCGAGACCTTGTCTGCCCTATTGCTGGTCACGTTCTGATGACCGCTGGTCAGGATGGTGTCTGCCAGGGCGCTCTGACTCTAACATCACTCTTTTCCCTTTTAAATAATAAGTATTTTGTGGGAAGCTAAGTCTGAAACTAGGGAAAATAGCCTGTTCCTTGCCAAGAAAGATTATTCATTTACGGATTCCTATCAGTTTGGACTCAAGATTGTTCTATTTTATTCTGTGCAGGGCCCATTACAATCACTCTCCAGACACTGAGATTGTCCCTGATCGGTGTGAAAGCCCTCAGAGGCTTCTGGGTCTTTTTGACACGTACCCATCATTCTTGGGGCACTTCCTTGCACTCTGGCAGTACCACATGCACAGAATGAGCCTGGGACTTCCCCTCCCCTACCCTGCAGTCAGCTTCTCCCCCAAGGAGCCGGGTCCCTATTAGTGGGAAATTTTATTTAGAAGCACCAAACTGGTGCTGATTATACTCCCTGCTGCTGGGGTGTCACGCTCCCAACGGACAGGCAAGGACTGTACGTGCGCACTATGCATACAGGTACACATACACAGTTACCTGCACCCGCCTTCACATCGAGATGTGCTGCGATAACTTTGTGTCAAAAACCATGAGGCCGCACTGACAGTCCACTGGCAAGTCCAACTGCGATACAACAGCCCTGTTCATCTTCGTTTTCCTCCCCTTCCCGTAACTGCAAATGGCTCCCATCACCTTCAATGGACCAATCCCCTGGAAATGATCTGACACTCCTACCCTATCCAGAGCCACCCTCCTGCTCAGGTGACTCCCCATTCCGGACTGCCCTACCTCCCTCCCCACTGACCTCTGATAGCCATGCCAGGCCATCCCTCCAGGGACACCAGCCTACTTAGGCTCTGTCATCCTGTATGGATGCCCTCCCCAATCTCTGACGCCCTGTGACAGAGCACCCCTAAGCACGTGCGGATGCCCCTCATCACCCCCAAGCTCATACTCCACACCAGGATTTCCCTCTGCAGGGAAAATTCCCTCCCTCCTCTCAGACCCTGAGAGCCCACACCAGGTCACCCCCCGGGGCTCTGATACGTCATGCCAGAACCACCTCCTGCAATGGAAACCCTCCTCTCACCTGCAAAGGCTCACAAAACTTTCACCAGTTAGGCATTCTGATTTCATTCTCAAGTCAACCAACTAGCCAACAGTAGCTCTCAGAAAATGTAGTTTTGGGTTGCAAAGTTCATTTGGAGGCACAAGCAGATACAAACGAAGAGCAGAACAAAGGAGCAAAGGAGAAAGCAAACATGGGTCTAACAGGAGGTGAGAAAGGCCAAGGAACAGCCTTTCCATTTTGACATGGGTGCTGAGCCAGCTGTGGAGATCCCGGAGTGCTGCCAATCACTGCACTTAAGAACTTGTCAAGCTCTTTCCCTTTCCTCTCCTTGTTAGCAGGACTCTCCTTCCACTTCCTCCCCTTCGGTGGAGGGGGCAAGGGAAGGAAAGATGGTGGAGAGAAGAGAGGCCACCCCGAAGTCCCACGTACAATGCCCCAGCACCAACCGTGGATTACTCTGCAGATACAACTTAATCCACACAACAGCATGGCAGAGTAAGTGGGAGCTCTCCTTCACACAAAGAGAAAACAAATGTTTGTTTCTCAATCTCTTCTGACCTGAAGTTAATCTTGAGTTCAAAATCTGAATCCAGATCCGCCTTCCTCTTCCATTCTCACTCATTCTATCACACAAGGGGGGAAAAAAGCAGTGAAAGCCAAAAGGGTCACTGGGAGGCAGTGGAAGGGAACAGACTAGTCCTGATTCTCTTAGGTGCCCCCACCCCTTCTGCCTCTCCCATCTTTAATGTAAGTGCTCCCCCAGCTGCCTGCCTCCCACTCACAAGATGCAGGAACCACCCGCCAGGAGAACCCAAAGCCCTCAAACCCGCCACAACAGCGATGGCAGCAGAACTGGTGAGAGCAGAAGGGGAGGTCAGGGCTCCTGAGCCTCCTCAGAAGGAAATGAGGCACAGCCACCATTTCATAGAATACATTGCAGGGTAAAGCCTAAGTGCTGTGTTCTGGTCTGTTCGTAAAGGACTGATCCACAAATGCATGTACGTAAATGTACCACCATGAGTGGAGCGCATACTAAACAGAGAGTGGTACATCTCACAGGTACTTACTTTATCCCTAGAGGATTTCATTGGGAAGGAATTATATCTGCCCTTTATTCAGTGTGTGATTTGCTGAAGCTTTTTGAGGTAAGTGAATTATTTAGACCAGGAATTTAGACAGACAAAAATGATAAGTCACTGAAGAATTTTCATAAATGTCATGGTTTGAAATAAAACTATAACCCCTAATCCTATAAATTTAAATAAAGTAATAGGCCTAAGTTTTAAATCCACAAAGCAAGAAGAATTCACAATATAAAGTTACAGATGTTTTCCCTAGGGCATTTAAAATAATTTAAATTACCAAATCTAATAAAACAAGGTCCATTTAAATTCACTGTTCAGTTATGAATCAAATCAGCCCTATTCGAGTCACTTCTCAGTTGAAATTTTTTTTTTATTTAAGTGAAATTCACATAACATAAAATTAACCATTTCAAAGTGAACAATCTGGTGGTATTTAGTGTAGTCACAGTGTTGTGCAACCACCACTTTCTAGTTCCAGAACATTTCATCACCCCAAAATAAAACCTTGTATTCACTAAGGAGTTGTTTCCCATTCTGCCCTCCCCTCGGTCCCTGGTAACCATCAATATGACATGGATGGATTGACCTTTCCTAGTTTATTTCTCACAAATGGAATCACGCACTAAACGGCCTTTCCTGTCTGGCTTCTTCCACTTAGCATGATGTTTTCGAGGTTCCTACATATCGTAGTACCTCATTCCTTTTCAAGGCTGAGTAATACCCCAGGGTGCGTGAGAGTATTTGTGTATGTGTGTGTTAAGTGCAGGCAGCCCTTCTCCCTTTCCCTCACCTCCTCCCCACCCCAGGCACAAAATGAAGAATGTGATACCAACCATGAAGACACAAATCCAAACAACTGGCCTGCAATCTTCAGAAGTACCGAGGATAGGGAAGTCAAGAAAATACTGAAGAAGGGTTTCAGTCTGAAGGCAACTAAAGGGACCCGACAACTACAAGCAGTGTATGATTCTGAACGGGGTCCTTTCGCAACAAAGGACATGACTGGGACAACTGGTTAATCTGAATGGGGCAAGAGTGGTACAGCCTCAATTGCATTATTCTGATGGTTGTACGGTAGATACACAGGAGGATGCACTGTTTGTAGGCATTATATACAAAAGTATCCTAAGGAAATGGAGAACCGGGTTGGCAAATTCTCAAACAGTTCTGGGGCAAAAAGGCTCTTTCTTTGTTGTATTTCTAACCTTTCTATAAATTCAGGACTATGCCAAATAATTTTCAAAGTATCAATAAAAAAGAATCCTGGCATAAGAATCTCTCCAATGTAGTTATATCTGTGTGATTTCAAATTTTAGTCAAGCAAAATCTGATAGAAACTTACTGCTTCCCATCCAGTTTGATACCTCAAAAAATTTAAAGGGCAGAACAATCATATATCAGCATAAATAAGGAGAGAGAGAGCTACAAGGAACATAAAGAATCATCAGACCATCTACCTGCTCACAGCAGGTAGACGCTCAGCTAGCTAGAACGGATGTCTGTTCCTTATTCCAAGACTGTCATAGTCTTCTCAGGAGATCATTAAACAACCCAGAGTTTTCTTTCTTATGGCCCAGCAACTTTCCCACCAGAAGCCCACTTCCTGGCTAAAACCTCTGAAGGTAAAATTATCAGCTCCTCAAAGAAGCAAATTTTAACAGGAGACAATCAATCCTCATTTTTCCATGTACAGTTGATCCTTGAACAATATGGCTTAGAAATGCACAGGTCCACTTATAAGTGAATTTTTTTAATTAAATATAATACAGTATTAGAGAGGCACCTGGGTGGCTCAGTCATGAAGTGTCTGCCTTCGGCTTAGTTCATGATCCCAGGGTCCTAGGATCAAGCCCCACATCAGGCTCCCAGCTTGGCAGGAAGCCTGCGTCTCCCTCCCTCGCTCCCCCTGCTTGTATTCCCTCTTTCACTATATCTCTATCAAATAAATAAAATCTTTTTTAAAATATATATAGTACTGTAAATGTACTTTCTCTCCCTTATGATTTTCTTTTCTCTACTTTTTTTTAATTAAAGATTTTTATTTATTTAACAGAAAGAGAGAGAGCATGAACAAGCAGGGGGAGCAACAGAGGGAAAAGCAGGCTGCCCGCTGAGCAGGGAGTCCAATGTGGGACTCCATACCAGGACCAAGGGATCATGACCTGAGCCGAAAGCAGACGCTTAACCAACTGAGCCACCCAGGCACCCCTAAATATAATACAGTACTATAGGGTCCTAGGATCAAACCCCACATTGGGCTCCCTGTTTGGCGGGAAGCCTGCTTCTCTCTTTACCACTCCCCATTTGTGCTCCCTCTTCTGCTGTGTCTCTCTCTGTCAAATAAATAAATAAAATCTTTAAAAAAAATTATTTTCTCTCTTATGATTTTAGTAAGATTTTCTTTTCTCCAGCTACTGTATTTTAGTAATGCAGTACATAATATACATAACATATAAAATATGTGTTAATCAACTGTTTATGTTATCAGTAAGACTTCCAGTCAATAGTAGGCTATTAGTAGTTAAGTTTTGGGGAAGTCAAAAATTATACACAATTTCCAACTGCACAGAGCCAGCATCCCTAACTCTCACAGTGTTTAAGAGTCAACTGTATATTTATATGTTTATAAAAATAGGGTTAATATCAATAAAAAAGGTGACTTTTCCCCATATTTATGCCCAAAGGTGCAAATTAAATTTGAAGAATTTATGACATCAAAATTAGAAACAGAAAAAATGAATTTTAAAATACATACGAAATCCTGTTGACTATGGCATCTTCATCTTCTTGTTCATCTGTAAAAATGGTTATGGTATTAGTTTTTTTAATCTTCAACAAAATGTTTCATTAATTTATTAGAAAATATAAACAAAAATAGAAACTTAAAGAATTACTGAAAAGAACTGATTTTCAAAAAGCACTGTTATTTATTTCAGCATGGATCCAAATTTAAATCCTATTAAATTACATAGGACAGAATGTAGGTAGAGAAGAGTGTTGTGATTAACCAAAATCTTGATTAACAAAACTAACATATGTAAACTGGGATTTTCCAAATATTTATTGTGCAAGAAAATAAAACTTAGCAGAACCTTCGGACCACTATCAAGTTTACTGTCATAAAATAGAAGTAAAATTACAATTGCTAATGAATGAAATTTTTTAATTGATAATATCCAACAAAATCTTTATTATAAAATTATTAGAATCTTAAAACTCATGTACTTTTCTATAATTTTTGAGTTTGTCATTATTACTGGTAATAAGGAAGACGCTCTTAGACCAGTCTAAACCATTTAGATACCACTGCCTCAATACTTCATAATTATTGTTCAATTTACAGAAGGAAAGTATCAAGTTTTATGTCTTTTACAAGTAGCAGATGCCCTCTGCTCCAATGCTCACTCACCTCCCTCTCTCTCATGGCTGCTAGCCTTTTCTTTGTCCTCCCACATAAATTTACCAGCTAAAGAACGTATGATCCAATTACAAGAATATTGCACAACACCCCCTGACCCCTCCTTCTCCTCAAAACCTAACTGGGGTTGTCCTCAAAGGCTCTCTCTCTCTAGGTCTCTGTAATTATGAGAGTCTACTTGCTTCCATGTCGATGTGCATTTGAGCCATTCTGACTCCAATCTCCATTCTTAATTACAGGCTGCCAAAATAGCGTTACAACCAAAAGGACAGTCACAATTAATTTTTATACTGTTGTGCATACCCCCAATTAACCATCAACTACTTAAGAATGTTTTAATAGCTTCATATGAATTTCAATTCTTCTCCCTAAATTCTACTAAGTCCAAGGTATTCATCACCCCTCCCTGCCATTACTTTAAAAATCATCTAATGGGTTGTCCCGGTAGCTCAGTCTGTTGGGTATCCAGCTCTTGACTTCCACTAGGGTCATGGTTTCGGGGTCATGGAGCAGGTGCTGAGTCGGGCTCTATGCTCAGCAAAAGGGTCAGGGGAGTCTGCTCGGGACTCTCTCTCCCTTTCTGTCTCTGCCCCCCACCCTTGCTCACACACACTCAAAATAAATAAATATTTAAAAACCATCTCAATCCTCTCATCTCCAATTTTCCTGCTCATCATCCCCTAATTTCCCCTAAAATGATGGATTTATATTCATTAATTCTCTTTCTCCCCCTGCTTCTGTATCTATAATCATTAAAACCTGATGCCAAAACATGTGTAAAAACAGCTAAGATACTGTGTTGAATCTGCAGGTCTTCAAATTTTTGAAAGATTATAGATTCCAAAAAGTATTTTAGTGTAATCATAGAGCCAAACTAAAACACTAGTGCAAGTACTATTTCCTAATTGCTTTCAAAAGTCCAACAACTTTTTTGTTATTATAACATGAAGAGTTCCTATTATATGGAATCCTTAAGTATTCACATGGTACCTACTGCGAGCCCAGCACCACAGGCAGAAAATCCTGTGATTTATAGAAAATAGCTGAGATTTAACAGAAGGCAGTAAGGCCATTGTTCAGATCCTTACAAAACCCTGGCACAAAAACCTGTGACTTAATTAGCACAAAGTTCATTTAAAAAAAAAAGAAAAAGAAGAAGGGATTGGACGCCTGGGTGATTCAGTCAGTCAAGCATCTGCCTTCGGCTCAGGTCATGATCCCAGGGTCCTGGGATCAAGCCCCACACCAGGCTCCCTGCTCAGCAGAGAATTCTTTGGCCCTCTCCCTCTGCACCTCCCCCCACTCATGCACATGCTCACATACATGAAGATTTTATTCACTGTCATACAGTGAATAGAATAAAATAAAATCTTCAAGAATAATAAATCTTCAAAATAAATAAAATCTTCAAAAATAATAATAATAGGGTGCCTGGGTGGCTCAGATGGTTGGCATCTGCCTTCAGCTCAGGTCATGGTCTCCAGGTCCTAGGATTGAGCCCCACTTTTGGCTCCTGGCTCAGGGGGAGCCTATTTCTCCCTCTGCCTCTTCCCCTGCTTGTGTTCTCTCTGTTTCTCTCTCTCTCTCAAATTAATAAAATCTTTTTAAAATAATAATAATTTTTAATAAAAAAGGAATAAAGATTTAGTAGTCCCTCTGGTATACAGGATATATATGAAATAATAAAAAGAAAAATATAAAATTGAATCCTCAATTGATACTAAATGGTATCATGGGGATTCTAAATTCCGTATCACTTTAGAGAAAGAAAAGATAGTCTAGTAGTCAGAGTAAGGATGGAAAGTATGCTGTTCAAACTCAGAGCCAGTCACAAGAACACATATATCCTTATAAACTCTAGAACTTCCCAGATACTGAGCAGCCCCACACTACTCTTAGACACTAGAACAATGGTAAACAAGGGTTCAGGTCTAAGAGAATAATGACCCTGCAAGCAGTCAGATCCCTGAAGGTTACTGTTTACTCTCAGTACCAAGCTATTGTGTCCTTCAGTCATGGCCATACCGAATATATGCACTCCATACTGGCATAGTATGTAGCCCATACACCACAGACCACCTGGCATGATGATCTAAGTTTTAACTACATACAGTGTTTCTACTTGCCTGATTTTCTCTTGTATCTTCTGATGATGAAGTAAGAAACAATGTAGAGAACGGCAAAAAGAAGGAAACATATCTGAAAAATAAAATTAACAATTCACTTACATTTGTTGCATTTATTTTTTAAAATTACAGAAGATACACCTTTGGTATTTATAGGCAAGAATGATTTGATCTATTAAAAAGTAAAAATTTTTAGATATTTTGGAAGTGTAAAGAGCCAGATCAACACCAACAATTCTGAAAACTTAAGTCAATGAGATGCTACTATCCCTTCCAAATATCAAACATACTATAAAGCTTCAATAACATTTAAAGAGTGTGATGGCACCAAAACTTGACAGATAAATGAAACATTCTATCATACAAAAAATTATATAAGTTAGTTCTATATACAAGAAGCATCACAAATCAATGTAGGGGGGAATAATTATTCAATAAATATACCACATATCAAAAAAAACAGCAGCTGAATGAGAAACTTAATTTTAATATTAAATTCAAATTAAATTCCATCTAATTTTATGGGGATGGCAGGTAAAAGAGGATGGGTCAAGGATAGGAGATCTCATTACAGTCCAAGACCAAGTGTGCTAGAAATAGTATTACTAGGGCTATGGATCAAAGTAAAAATAGTTTGAATACCCTCAAATGAAAAAATTCCAAGTGATGGTAGTCTAGGGACCACCGCTATGCATGGATTTCTGAAGGAGGATTGTTGTCCACATGACTGAAAATGACCTTGGATCTGGGTGTGAACAGGCACTATACAATGTCATCCACAAAATGACAAACGGACAATGAAGAGGAAGACCGTGAGTCTCATGATGTCACACTTCTTCCAATACAAGTGGAATGGGAAAGTGACAACTGACAATAAGGACAGTGACCAAAAAGGAGCCAAGAGGGCACCCGGGTGGCTCAGTCATTAAGCATCTGCCTTCGGCTCAGGTCATGGTCCCGGGGTTCTGGGATCTAGCCCACATCAGGCTCCCCGCTCAGCAGAAGCCTGCTTCTCCCTCTCCCCCTTCCCCTGCTTATATTCACTCTCTCGCTGTCTCTGTCAAATAAGTAAATAAAATCTTAAAAAACAAAACAAAAAGGAGCCAAGAGTCAAAAGCATCCAATTGGCCTGCTGCTGGGAGCCCATGAAGAACTCCAGATGGATAAGAGAATATTAACACCATCACTACTTTCTCCCCAGATCGTTTGGACTAGGGAAAATGGATCAAAAAGGAAACCAATCATCGGTGAAGAAATGTGAACAGTGGGGGTCTTCTAAGAAGATGTTAAGGGTCAGGGGAGATTGTTTACAATGGAATGGTGAAGCCTGAGTAGGGCTGCAAGAGCCCTGGAAAGAGGGTAACTGGCCAGAACCCTGTGCCTTACGAGGTTCAAGTCAGGGGGATCGAATGACCAAAGGAATTAATATTTATGACAGAAGCTACCTGAAATTTGATTCATTCAGCAATTACTTGTCATGAGCTTACTGTACACCAGGCACTCTTTTCAGAACTGAGCACACAACCGTGAACAAAACAAAGCTCTTGCACTCACTGAGCTTACACTCCGCTAAGAAAACCACCGATCAATAAGCACGCAACCGGGCAGATGATGACTGGTGCAGGACTAAGGGAACAGGGAGTACGAGCAGAGGAGGGGGCACGCCTCACTAATACGGTGGTCTCTGAAGAAGGACTTGTGGGAGAAGAAAGAGAAAGACATGCAGAAATCTGGAGGGAGGGTACTCAGTGCATAGAGAACAGTCACACCAAGGGTCTGAGACAGGAAAAGCCTGGTGTGCTCAAACAGCGAGAGGGGAGAAGAGATGGGGTCTCACAGGAGTTTCAACTATGTGTCAGTTCTCATGAACAGTGAAGAGTTCATTTTTACGCTGAGTGAGATAAGAATGCATGGTGGGACTCTGAGCAGACGGGTGACAAGATCTGACAGAGGGCAAAAGGCTCACTGTAGGTACAATGTGGAAAGTAACTTAGAAGGGACACAGACTGCAGCAGACAGACCAGTCAGGAGTGTACTGCAATCACCCAGAAGAGAGGTCACTTGGCCCTGTGTAGTAGAAATATCAAAAATTATCAAGTTCTGGGTATGTTTTGAAAATAGACTTGACAGGGTTTGCAGGGATGAGGCTTGGCCTACAAAACTGGAAAGAGAAAGTGACCATTTTCTCAGGTAGGAAAGATTATGAGTAGTTATTTTGCTTTGGAGATAAAAAGTACAGGGTACACCACTGAACGTGAAATACCTCTTATTCACTGAGGTAGAGAGGGCAGATAAACTGCTGGATATAAAAATCTGTACAAGCCAAGGAAAAGAGCCTGGCTAGATTTTTTTTTTCCTAAGGTGAGGACCAGTGGGGGACATAATCAGATAGGTATTTAAGGCCCTAAGACCAGATAAGATTTCCATCCTAGGGAGTACAACCAGAGAAGTCTGAGAACCAAGCCTCAGACCTCTCAAATATTTAGAAGTCAACTTGACAGAAGGAATCAGGAAGAGCTAACTGAGAAGCAGCAGTCAGCAGGTAGGAGGCAAGCAAGAGACTGTGATGTCCCAAAAGCCAAATGAAGAAAGTTCATGTAAGAAAAGGGAATTATCAGCCGTGTCAAATGCCGCTGACAGGCCAAGTAAGATGAGCGCTGAGAATTGACAACTGGATTTAGCAACGTGGAGGTCATCAGTGACCTTGACAAGAGCTGTTTTTCTGAAGCAGTGAACTTAAAACCCTGACTGAAGTAAATTAAGACAGAAGAAGAATTGAAAATAAAATGTACATCGACAGTTCTTTCCAGGAATTTTATAGTAAAGGAAAGCAAAAGAAATGTGATGGGAACTATGAAGAGGATTTTTATTTTTTAAGATGAGAAAAGTCACACATAATTGCAATAATCATCAGGTAGAAAGAAAAATTACTAATGCAAGAAAGAAAATGGAGAAGTGCTAAAGCAACATAAGGTAAGGAGCTAGAAATAAATGTATCCCTAGTCAGAAGGAGGAGGAGCCAAAGCAGAAGAGGACAGAACACTCGAGTTCCACTGCAGGTAGGTAAGCAGATGGGTGCTAAAGCACAAAAATATGCCCTGCTGATGGAAGTTCCTCGAATAGAGTTACATGTGGAGAGTGGAGACAGAATTCACGGGAGGATGACACCATAAATGGAGTATAGAATATAAGGGAAATGAGAGCCACAGCAAGACGAAATGGAAGTCCCAGCTCCAGGCGTGCCCAGGCTGAGCCTCCGAGCCAGGCAAGAGGCCCGCTGCTGCTCTGCAACATGCCGGCCTGGCTCTTAGATGTGGGGGAGCTGCAGGTAAAACGAAGGAGAGACGAACCATGAGAGACTATGGACTCTGAAAAACAATCTGGGGATTTTGAAGGGGCGGAGGGTGGGAGGTTGGGGGAGCCAGGTGGTGGGTATTATGGAGGGCACATATGCTATGGAGCACTGGGTGTGGTGCATAAACAATGAATTCTGTTATGCTGAAAAGAAATTAATTAAAAAAAAAAAAAAACAAGCAGAGGTTTGAGGATTCTAACAACTACCCTCTTCTCTCCTCCCCTGGACAGCCTATACTTGCAGACTTGCACAGGGTACCACTCACTCACTCCTCCAATCACAGATCTGCCTTCATGTTCACTGCCCAACCCAAGTGCTCCCGCAGTGATCAGTCAACACCTCGCAGCTGAATTCCACTCCCACGGTTTCACCTGATCTCTGAGCAGTCCCCCTATTTCAGCAACCATCCTCCTCCTCTGATTATGTGCCCAGTCTCCATCACTAGCTTCCCTCTTCCTGACAGCCTTTAAACACTATTCTTCTAAAACAAACAAACAAACAAAAACAAAACAAAACACACTACACTATTATTCTTCCCTATGATTTCAGGGCTGAGCCAGAACTCTATCCTCAATCCACAAGCTCTTCATAGGTAACCTAATCTGCTCCCAGGGTTTTAACCATCAACCCCCAGAAATCCTTGGACCACAGTCTGAAAACCACTGGATTAGGGTATTAGCAGAAGTAAGTTAAGGGCACCTGGGTGGCTCAGTCAATTGGGCATTTCCCTTTGGCTCAGGATGCAGTCCCCTGGGATTGAGCCTGGTGTCAGGCTCCCTGCTCAGAAAGGAGTCTGCTTCTCCCTCTCCCTCTGCCCTTGCTCCACCCCGCTTGTGCTCATGCTCTCTCACTCTCTCTCTCTCTCTCTCTAAAACATAAATAAAATCTTAAAGAAAAAAAAGTGAGTGAAATGAATGGCCATAAATCCTAGGTAGAGTGAGGGGGAAAAAAAGAAACTAAGTACAGAGTGATGGGTAAGTAGAGTTATCTATCAACTGAGGCTCCCAATAAAACTGCAACAGAAGACCAAGGAATGTGGAAGAAGTAAAGGTTATGATTAAAGAATGTTTACAGATCTTTAAACTTAGTATTTAAAGTTAGAGAACAAAAGTGTCAGAAATTCCAGAAAGTTCATGCAGAAGCAGAAGATGAGAAGACATAAGAGGTAATGAACAAAAAGAAATTAAAAAACCAAAATGCATGGTATAAAATGAAAAGACTAATGGAAAGCAATTCATTTAAGAATGGAAGTAAGGGGGCACCTGGGTGGGCTCAGTGGGTTAAAGCCTCTGCCTTCAGCTCAGGTCGTGGTCCCAGGGTCTTGGAATCGAGTCCCACATCGGGCTCTCTGCTCGGCGGGGAGCCCGCTTCCCTCTCTCTCTCTCTGCCTGCCTCTCTGCCTGCTTGTGATCTCTGTCTGTCAAATAAATAAATAAAATCTTTAATAAAAAAAAAAAAGAATGGAAGTAAGGCTAACAATTATAAAAACAAACATAAATATTACTAATTTAAATATAAAAGCCACCCATTAGGAAAATAAAAATGCAACTATAACAGATTGAAACAAAACTCACAGAATGGGTTAGACTATTTTTCTAGTTGTAGGAGCAAATGCTCCTCCCCTAAATGAGTGCATCTTCAACAGACAGCAACCCTCAGGGATGAGGGAAATGAAAGCAAACTGCCATAATGCTTCTTATTGTCCCTATACCTGGTGG